ATATTTAAATAATTATAAATTAAATAAATATTATAAATTAAATAATAAGAAGTCATACCACATCTTTCTACGCTTTCGAATTAAATTTACTTCTTTTGCTAAATTTTTTTTCTCTGAAAATCATATTGCTACATTTTCTGCAAAAATTATTTAATTACTATTTTCACTTATTATACGATAATTTAATATCTAAAATGAAATAATGAAATATAATAATTGATAATCAAATAATTATGCTACAACATTTTCTACAAAAAATATTCCATTATAATTATCACTTATTATACAATAATTCAATATCTAAAATGAAATAATCAATTATAATAATTTATAATCAAATAATCGTATAGCTAAAATATTCGAATTTAAACTTTTAAGCATTTCGAATATTATCAAAATTTCTTTCTTTCTTCTTTCTTTCTTGCTATCTTTTTCAATAGTGCAAAAAATGTTTTTTGATCGATCGAAAGTGGAGGTGAAAGAATTAAATTAATATTTTTAATGATACTCCTTCTTTTACTTTTCCTTTTCATTGAAGAATTACTAATATCATAATTATCATAATAAATGTTATGAATGATACGACAATTCCAATTCAAATCATATATAAGTATAAAATAACGAAACGAAAACTATCATATGAATGATTGATTATAAAAATTTTCTGTTTTGTCATATTATTGAAATGTAGAAAAAATAGAAATGCAAAATTTTGAAATAATTTGAAATGTACTTTTTTAAAAAAAGCATAGAAAGCATTTCAAAATTATTTCAAAATTTATTTTTTTTACATATTTCAATCGATATCTTTTCTATTTTTCCACTAAAAATGATAATAATCCATTTATTAAATTCCACTGTAATCATTGATTTCTTTCCTATATGATAAAATTACCGAAGAAATAGAAATATCGGGAGATGAAAAGGAAAGATTTGATTAAACAGGAAAGCGGGAAAAATATTAATTAATTAATTTTCGTCTTAATTGTTAAATTTTACATCAATATATATTAAATCTGTAAATTAGAATACAAAATCATTGATTTCTACCTATATGATTATATTACCAAAGAAATGGAAATATCGGGAGGTGTAAAGGAAAGATTTGATTAAACGCGAAAGCGTGAAAAATATTAATTAATTAATTTTTATCTTAATTATTAAATTTTACACCAATATGTATTAAATACATAAATTTGAATGCAAAATCAATGATTTCTTTCCTATATGATAAAATTATCAAAGAAATAGAAATATCGGGAGGTGTAAAGGAAAGATTTGATTAAACGCGAAAGCGGTAAAAATATTAATTAATTAATTTTTATCTTAATTATTAAACTTTACACCAATATATATTAAATTTGTAAATTTGAATACAAATATATTTGTTTCATTCGTTCAATTGCTTTCCAATTTTTATTATATTACGATTTTTCTATTTGCAATGAAAAGAAAACTTTTTTAGTTTCGAAAAAATAGTTAAATAATTTGAGTGAATTTTTAAGTGTAATATAATAATTAAAACATAATACATAAATTAATTTAATAGCAATTAATAATGGTATTAATTAATAATAATTAATAATGGTATTAATTAAATATGATAATAATAGAAGAAAGAAAATTAAAACATAGAACAAATAAAATCAACAATTTTTTTAGTTTAGAAAAAATTTAAACAATTTGAGTGAATTTTTAAGTGTAATATAATAATTAAAACATTAACATAGATTAATTGAATAATAATTAATAATGATATAATTTAATAATAGTATTAATTAATAACGATAATAATATAATAAAAAAATTAAAACACAGAACAAATAAAATAAATATTGTCATAATTAAATTATATAATAATGTAATTAATAAAATAAAAGAAAACAGAAAAAAAAGAAAACGAATAATTTGATGCGATATAATATACTGTAAATATATATAAATAAATAAGCGTAATATAAACAAATATAAATAAGTGATAAAATTTTGATTAAGATAAAGTGATAATATAAATTGAACTTTATTAAATGAAGATTTATTTTGAGACCTAATAAATTTTTCGTTATAGTTTTTCAAGACGTTTTAGTTAGGAATTGAAATGATAAATTGATAAATGATTTTATCATTTGATTTCATTCATTTGAAATTAGTTATATTCAAGGAAAAGAAAATATGCAATATAAAATATAAATATATTTTCGATACCCGTAGAGTAGAGTAGCATTCCACAAATGTTGTAAAAATTTGAAATTATATTTGAAGAAAAAGAATAGAAATTAATTAAACTTATCAAATTAAAAATTCAAATTAATTATTACAAATAATCGATTACAGAATTATTATTCCGTCAAAATGGATTACAAAATTATTGAAATGGATTGCAGAATTATTATTCCTTCAAATATTTGATATAATATTACTAAACAAACGATACATTTTAAACATTATTGTCTATAATGATAGTTGAAAATGAGAGAGAGAGAGAGGAAGAGAGAGAGAGAAAATTCTCTTTATGATTTCTATTATAAACGTTGAAAATTGTTGGCATATATTTTTTAAAAAAGCGAAGAAATTATTTTTGTTACTTTCATTTGTTTACAAAAGGGAAAATAGTTTCTGCAAGCATTTATCTTATCAACAATAAATAAATTCATTATTTTTGTTTATATTTATTGAGCGAGAAAATATGGTTATTTATTTATTTTATTTTATAAATATTAATTTATTTATTTGTTAATTATTTGTTTGTTTATTTATTTAAATATTAATTTATTTGTTTGTTAATTTGAAAATATGATTATTTATTTTGCTTTATAAATATTACTTATGCTGCTATTATTTATTTACTTATTTATCTGATTGTTTATTACATATTTTCTTTTTTGTAATTATATCGCTTCAATTGTTTTATCTAATTTGATTCTTTTTTTTGATCTAATTTTCTTCAATAGCAATATTTTATATTTTACATTAACAACATTTAATGATCGTTGAAATATATCGTTTAAAATATTTTGTATTAACAAATGAAAAGAGAAAAGATAAATTTTTTCAGTTCATATTCCAGTATTTAATTGTTTAATTATCAGCAATAATATTTTTGCATAGTTTATAGCCTAAATTATGCTTTTCTTTGGAGATGATCGAAATCATTGATATATTATCATTGATGCAATTTGCATGATCCATTGTTGATGTTAGTATAATTTTATTTTCCAGTTTTAGGCCTTAATTTGATATCCGACAAAGATCTATAAAAGACGCTCTATGCTGAAGGCTATTTGACAATTTCATTTCATCCATTTTATTCATTCACTTATTCATTAATTAACTGTAAATAATAAACTAACTAGTGCGTAGTAAAAAATTTCGCATATGTCCTCTTTGAACTGTTACCACGCTTAAATCGTCTAAAATCGAATTCATTTGATTGTTATATTTTAAAATTTATAATTACAAAATTTTTATTGTAGCATCCGGAAGAATTCCGCAAGCGTTATAAATTATTTATAAATGATTGTAGTGTCCGGTCAGAATTCCGCAAGCGTTATAAATTAGTACAATGTAATAAACGTGTAATTTTTAATTACATTCTCTAAAGAATAACAAATAACAATTAGGAAAAGGTTAATGCAAATCGGCAGCATTATCAATTGTATTCGGAATATTCCGGAATATTACCGAGAAGAAATGAAATGATAGCGTCAAGCATTTTTTTCACTGAGTATTAATTTCTTTGATCTAATTTGCATCATAGAACTTAAAATGGTGTCTCATTGTTTGGTTTAGTTTTATTGCATGAATAAGTTGCAACTTATTCACATATATCAAAAGTATAATTTGATAAATGATGCATTATTAATTATCGATAACTATTTATAATAATTAATGATATCTTATTTTATTTGATAAATGATGGATCTATTAATTATCGAAACTATTGATAATAATTAATGATATTTTGTAGCTCAGATTTAATAGTTTAATGGATTAGTTATTGTTGTTGTGGTTGATATGATTGATAATATGATTGTTGTGTGATTGTTATGATTGATAATTTCATTCCTACATTTATTATAATTATTATTTAAAATGAAATAGTAAATTTACAGAAAGAGAAATGCGGACAACACGAATAATGACATGGGGTGAAACATTTTACCGTACACATTTCAATTCGGTGATAAAATCACGGAATGATAACGGTAAGTGATTTACTGTATTCTTTTCCGGAAACAATTTAACACTGTGCTAAACGATTTCATAATGAAATTATCACTCAATTTTATTACTGATAATTAAATTATTGAAATTAAACTGCAAATTTCTTTTCATCAATTATTATAGTTAGAATAAAATTCAGATTTGCAAACTGAAATAGCATGCTGTTCCGTAAAACATCCGGAAAAAGCGATGATATATTCGGTAGACAATACATTTTTGGTAGAATTTATTTCTCTTTCATTCACTCTCTCTTTTATTCTTCTAAAATTTAAAATTATTTCAAAACATATTTTCTGATTTATTAGAATTGAAAGTTTAATTCTTCTTAAATTATCTTACATAAAACTTTTCAAATTATATTCGAACAAATTAATTATTCACCGGTATGTAACTGAAGAATAAATTTCGATGAATTATTAAGGACTATTACAAATTTATTGATATGTTAAATTACTTCGATATATTGCATTAAAAAAATTTCAAGTAATTCTAATGTTTAAAATCTTACTGTTCAAAAGAAGTTAATTATCAAAAATAATATAAAATAACAAAACTTTTTTTTTAAAACAATTATCCATTGTCTACTGAAATTATTTAATTTTTTGGGATATGTGTAATTATTTAATTTCTAATTTTAAATTTATTTACATAATTTGCGAAGCAATTCTTAACTTTTTTGTTATTTTTCTTTTAAAGGGGTTTTATTTTTAAGGAGCAATCAGCAAGGATAAGCCTAAGCGGTCGATGTCGTGCCTTAATTTTAAGTCCGCTACGTTTGGTACGTGTATTTGCGGAAAGAAAGCAACTTTATCAGTTAGTTATTATTAAAGCTGTATTCAAAACTTCAGTAATTTTATTCATTATTCATTTATAATAATTCACCTGAAATTGCATTAATTGTTGTTTTGTCTTTTATGCAATGATTAATTAGAAAATATTTTTAAAAGATTAACAAATGCTGTTTCATGATACTATTCGCACTAAGATTGCTAATAAATCTCCAATTAATGAATGAAAAAATAAAATTATTATTAAAGAAAAAATTTTCTTTTGAAATTACTAAATATTACGGTAATTAACAGGAAAAATAAAAGAGCGTTGAGTGTTGCAAATCAAACGACAACTTCAGCAAATGATAAAAACAATTATCGAATTGGTTTATTGTTTCATAATATCCTAAAAATCATAATTAATAATAATTTCCTGAAAAAAAATTTTTCCGAATATTCATATGATTAGTTTATTCTGATTGATACAATGATGAATATTTCTATCATTTAATGATAAGATAAAATGAGTCATAAGATATATGATGACATAGAACCATCTCATCATGGATATAGCTAATCATCGAAATTGTTTTAATTCCTCTAACCTAAATTTTTAGCATTTTCAGCATTAACCTAATATAGACATAATTAAGTAAATAAATATTTATATCTTTTGGTGATAAGATAAAATGAGCCATGAGATATACGATTACATAGAACTTTCTCATCATGGATATATCTAATCGTCGAAATTGTTTTAATTCCTTTAGCCTAAATTTTTAGCATTTTCAGCATTAACCTAATATAGACATAATTAAGTAAATAAATATTTATATCTTTTGGTGATAAGATAAAATGAGCCATGAGATATACGATTACATAGAACTTTCTCATCATGGATATATCTAATCGTCGAAATTGTTTTAATTCCTTTAGCCTAAATTTTTAGCATTTTCAGCATTAACCTAATATTGACATAAACAAGTAAATAATAATAAATTATTGCTATTTTATTTTTCTTTTCTTGCTTAACTTCAAATAGAACCTTGCTTTTTACTCTCCATCTAATAAAATATTCAAATTCATATCTATTGAAATATATAATTAATAAAATTTAAAATATGCATTTAATTTTAGGTTAATAATTTTAGGTGAAGGCGGCTTTGGTGCTGTATTTCGACACGTATACAATAATCGCGATGTAGCAATTAAGCAATTACATCATTGTCGACATTCATCATCCTCTCATTTTAATTCGTTCTGTTCGGAATTAAATGCTTTCCGATTGCCGCCATCAGCATATGTTGTTCAAGCTATTGCATTCACATCATCTAATACTTGCTTGCAGGTATTTTCTTTCCGGTTCTCTTCCGGTATTTATGAAGTGACATGATATTCATCAATAATAATGAATTCATTGTTTATATTATATTATGCAAAAAAAGAAATTTTAAGTTAAAAAAATAAGAAATAAAATATATAAAATAGAAATAAGATAATATAAATTACTAATATAAATAATAATATAAAATATAAAATAATAAAACATAAGATAAATTATAAAATATAATATAAAATAATATAAATTATTAAATTCTGATAATCAACCAAGTACAAATAATTGAATATCTATTAGACTAATTTTTATTAATAATAACCATATATGTAATCATTCAATCTGTCATTTATTATTTATTGGGAAAATTTATCAAAGTGATATTAATTATCAATAATAATGAATTCTTTGTTCATAATATATTACGACAAAAACACACCAAAATCGTTTCACTTGCCGAACCGAAATTTTTTGCAATTTTTCTGATATTATAAATTTTGTTAGGAGTAATTTATATATCTTATTTTATATATTATATCTTATATATTCTTTATCATTTAACTTAAAATTTCTCAATATGTTATATCAGTGCATTTAATCATTTAAAAATTAATTAATTACTACAATTATTGATAATGATTACAATATCTGCAAATGTTTGGCATATATTTTTCAAATGAATTTAATTTTTTTAATTTGTAAAGTTTTTTCTCATTATCTTATTTGTGAGAAATTTTAAATTAAAAATTAAAATCTGAATTGCTTTTTTTAATTATGAAAAATTTTAATTTAAAAACTAAAACATAAATTAAATTACTTCCAATAATATTTCCAATAGAATTTTTGATGCTTAAATAAACAAAAAAATAATACATAAAATTTCAATCATCTTTTCCTAATTATATTTTTTATTAAAACAAAAGGAATTTCAAATTGTAACGGAATTTATTGAAAGGAATTCCAATAATATTTCCAATAGAATTTTTGATGCTTAAATAAACAAAAAAAATAATACATAAAATTTCAATCATCTTTTCCTAATTATATTTTTCATTAAAACAAACAAAAAAAATTTCAGATTGTAACAGAATTTATTGAAGGAAAAAATTTGCAACAAGTAATTAGTGATGAAATGTGGGATATCACTTTTGCGCAACGTTTACAACTTGCTTTTCAGGTAAAACAAGTTGTGATCATCGATTTCCACAACTTTCTCTTTCTTCTTTGAAATAATTTTAACATTTGCAAAATTTGTTATAAATTTCTGATATTTTTTCTTTGTTCTATTTCGACATATCGGAAAAGTGAAATTACAAAAGATTTTCCGGTATTTCCGATTTCAATCAAATAAATTGAAATTAAAATTCGTTGAAATTTTTCGTAAAAAAGAGCTATTCGATTTGGTAATGCAATTTATTGTATGCTTACATTCTAATTAGCTTATTAGCATGCAAGAAAATATTTGCTAACTTTAATATTTCCTGCATAAATATTCAAATTCAAATTAAATATTTAAATTTTTAAATTTAGAAATATATGATAGATAAGACATTTGAAATTATAATTTAATTAATTGCTTAATATATGGTTGAATAATTTGAGGTAATAAATGGCTTAATGCATTGTCATAATCATTTGCTGCTACATTTGGATGTAAAACCAGCTAATATTATTGTTCACGTAAATGGGAAAATATGTAAATTATCCGATTTTGGTTGTTCAAGAATTGCAATAACATCTCAAAATGGTTTTTTAATTGTCAATAATAAAGCAATAAATTCAACATTTGGTACCATTGCTTATAAAGCACCAGAATTATTAAAGGTGTCGCATATTTTACACAAAATATTATCCTATCATAACTTATTTGCAATTAATATTTCCAACTCACAAAAGTATCAAAAGGAAGTTTAGCTTATACGTGACAGTCTTAAACTTAAGTATAAACTTTTTTAGATTTAAAAGCTTTGTAGTTAACCATAAGTTTTAATATTTATCAAATGATTTAACTCTTCCGATTATATTTTACTTATAGTAAAATGTAAACTTTTCAATACATCCAAATAAACTACTTGAAGTTTGCAATTAGATTTAAAAACTGTGTAGTTATCATTTATATAGTATGTATTATCAGACATAATATGGCCTGTATGTATATTTTTTATTCAAAAAAGTTGATGCGCATTATGTTAATAAGGACAATAGCGCCTAAAATTAATAGTAAGGACAATAGCGCCTAAAATTAATAGTAAGGACAATAGCACTTAAATCGTCTAAAATCGAATTCATTTAGTTGCTATGTTTTAAAATTTACGATTGCAAAATTTTTAAAATACTTAAGTACAAAGTTTTTAAAGCATTAGTGTAGATCTTCTAAGACTGTCTAGTGCTGTCACTTGCTTTCACATCTAAGTAAGCGCAAATTTAAAAATCAATTTTTTGAAATATGTGGATACCTCTCTTTTCGATGATAAAATTAAATTGAGTTTTTTTTTAGGGTGATAAGATCACTGACAGAGCTGATATTTATTCATTTTCATTAGTTCTATGGGAAATTCTTACACGTAAAACCGTATATAACTTCATGCATCCACATATTTTCATTTATGGTGTTGTTGTACACAAATTACGACCTGAAATTGAACATCTCAATATGCCGAAAGGTTTGTTAGCCGCTAAATTTTAACCTTACAAACACGTAATTCACGTGAAATTAAAACATCTTCTTTTCTTTTTTTCATAAAAAAGTAATTTCAGGTAAATATGGCAGAGCTTTAATAACACTACTCAAAAATTGCTGGTCTGATGAATTAACTAAACGACCGTCTGCTGCTATCGTCCAACAAACTATCAAACAATTCATTTGCGCCGAAAAATTAATTTGTCCATAAGGGAATTCAACTATTAACGAAATAAATAAATTATTTACACATATCATCATCCATGTAATTATCTCAATTTTAATTACTATAATTATTGTGGTTGAAATTTTTTTTCATTTCAATTTATAATTTCAATTTTGTAAATATTGTTTGTGCCAGTGAATTTATAATTTTAGTATTTTAATTAAAATAAAAAATGAAATTCTTCATTCCTGTATCACAATATGCACTGGTTGATGTCTCAAAATCGAATCATGAACAGGTATATATATATTTATATTTATATAAGCATAATTATTTATCAATAATCATAATCATTTCACTAAAAATTTTGTCAAATATTTACTCATAAGAAAGCAAAGGTAACATAATTATTTTAACCTAATTGGTAATCATCCTTTTCCTTTGAAAATTTTGCACTGACAATCAAAAATGAGATATATTTTCTTATGCAGTCTGTATTTATTATGAATATTACAATAAAATTTATTAAATGAAACAATATCTGTTATCGATGAAAGATTAGTAAAATTGTATGCGAATAAAACGATTAGGTAATTAGAATCTATCAATTCCAGAATCAAAATCTATCAATTTCAGAACCTATCAATTCCAGAATCAGAATTTGTCTACTTGTAAGCTAAATTGAAAAGTAGAATTAGCTGGTTTAATTAATTTGCTTTAAATTAAATAGAACCCTTTCATTTAATTTGCGTTGCAAACTACAAATATTACTCATGCAAAAAAACTGGAATTTTTCAGAATAGCCCAAAATTGATCTCCAGCTTTTAAGATTTGATTTAATTGTATATGCTTTGCTACAGGTCAGTTTTTAACTAATTTCATTACATGAATTAATAACAATTATACAAATTATATATCCATTTCAAAACTAAGGATATAAGGGACAAAAGTTCTCAACAACATAAAAAATTAATATTTCAAATTTAAACAAAAAAAAATCGAATAACTGAATATGATCGCAGGCTAGACTTCGGCTACAAGGACGCTACAAGAAACGAAGCTAAGAAAGAGAGACTTGGAATAATTGTGGGTAGACGACACTAGTATCTTTCATGTGCCATAAAAGTATTTGTAATCTGAACGAAGTGTTTTTAAATAATACTAGGAAAAAAATATAATAAAAATAAAAAAAATTATGAAAGCTTTTGAAGTGCTAAAATAATGCCAAAGCCATGCCAAATATATATAACCATTCCGAATTTACATAGCAACTGATTTTTCATCTGATGGTCGTTTTAAACCACGAATTGTAAGATCATAAACAACTTGTTCAGCTCTCTGAACATCGTACTTGAGCGTATCGTATCTTCGACGCAGTCCATCATTTTTTAAATTCAACAGGCGAAATTTTGCATCAAGATCATAGAGAAAATCAGCAATCTGAAAAAGGAAGCTGTGAAATTTAACTCCTTTCCGAAACACGTAATATTGATTAGAGATGGCGATTAGCATTATCATAAATGTACATATCGTTTAATTAAAAATAAAATTACAAGTATGTGGAGAAATGGACCTTAAACGGTAATATGCTGTTACCAACAACAACGGCATTAATGGAAAATCGCGATAGTTCACTGGCAAGTTGAAGTAAACCAAATAAATAATCCTCGACGTCCAGATGAAAACCACTCGATGGATCAACTTTGACTAAAAATACATTGTTTCCATATAAAGGCAAAAAGCGTCATCATAGAGACATAAAAATCAACACTTTCTTCACAAAGAGAATCAATTGATAAATGACTGATCCTTTCATATAACAGTTTTTCTAGAAAATATCATACTGTTTAAGATTTCAGCAACTTTGTCGCGATTCAACAAGATTCCATGTTCAAGAAAATGAGCATAAGTCACAACAAAGCATAATTTCTGAATAATGAAACGGAAATTGTCGAAATAACTGAAAAAGCAAAAAGTGAATTATAGGGAGAATTCTGCAGAACAATTCTAAAGGAAAAAAATCATATCTACTAATTTCAGATTTATTGCTTTCTTCTGTGGATAAAATTGGAGTTCGTCATCTGAACTAAAGGAAAAAATTATGAAGATGATCAATCAAAGTGTTTGTGCATAACCGGAAGTGTTTGTGCGATTGAGACTGCCTGTGGCTATACGAGGAATGAATTTCATAAAATGAAACTGAAAAAACTGTGGACTAAGGACTCCACCAGAGACAAGTTATCGTAAACTAAGCTCTACTTCAACTTTTTAAACCCGAAGTGTGAGCACTCTTCCAACGTGATTCAAATTAAAATTGACAATATACTCAATTTACTAGACAGAGATCTATCTTGTGAAAAATGAACAATTTGCTATTTTAGCAAACAAATCAGTAAGTCTAGGATTAATAAGAATGGACCTTGGTCTTGTTTTGTACTCTTTTGTTATAGGGATAATAGCACAGTATACTTATATGAATGTCAAGAAGAGCTAGAACTGCCATCAAACTGATAACAAAACAGACTGAATTTTGCTTATTAGGTAATAAAATCAATAAAAATATCAATGAACGATCTTCACAACTTGCTTAGAACTTTCCGCAATACGTTCCATCATATGTGGATATTATTTGGATATTGTTAATACTGTATTTTATATCCTAATAAGTATTCTTATACGTACCGATAATATGATACAGGCGATATCAGAGCAGCAAGCTTTATCAAATACTTTTGCACTTCATTATTTAAAATATTTTCCACTTCCTTCAGATAAGTATCTGCAAACAAACATGAATAATATTTATAAATTAATGTTTTAAAAGTAATTTAACAATTCCAAAATGAGTAGTTAATTCAGCAGAAACGGATCACTACAACTTTGTTAAATAGCGATTTAACATACCCTGTCCACCTTTAAATGTATGTGTTTTCTGCAATATAGAAACGATTCTCGACACCCAATACTCCATCCCATGTGCTGCGTTTGCTATATCCTTTAAATATTTAAAGTTTATGTATCTTTCTTTCTTCTCGTAACTAGTAAAAATATGCAAAAAACAACAAAAACACGTCCTTCCTCCTTTATACCTTTTTTCTGAAATTCGGGTAGTGAAGTCTTTCAGACTAATCACAGTTAATCTTTTTACACTACCCTACGTTATTATCATCCATGCCGATAAGTTTAAATTAACCTTATCGAGATGGAAACAATGTTCACATGCTAAGCAGAAATTTCCGTAAGAAAGAAGAAATATAACTTACATCTTTCAAAATACGATCTTTTTCGACTAATTCCCTGAATGTTTCAAACATAGCATCAACCGGATTTGCTGTATCCGATAATATCGCTGTATCTACCATTTCTAAAATGATTAATTGGAAGCAATAAGGCAACAAATGATTGATGCCCTAAAAAATATAGTAAAATAATTGGATTCATGATCATAGAAAAACTTATCAAGCATAAATTAACTAGCCATATAGCATTACTATCAAATAGACACCCCTAATTGTCAAGGCTTTATAGAAAAAACCTTCGGACAATATGGAATATTATGGAAGCGGGAAAAGATAAAAACAATCAAATGATTCATAATGAAATGAATCTTTCATACAAAATGCACTAATTTGTAGTAAAAATTAATTAGACTCTCGACGAAAAAGCTAAATATGAAATGAAAATTTAACCAACAACAATTATTTCAGTCATAAATTTGGAAATATAAATTGATTACTGTCAATCTCTGTTCTCTCATCACTATATGAAATTATTTTTACCATTTACTCAATCTTCCCGCTATCTTATCATATTTCCCGTTCATTTTTATCTGTCCGATAAAATGAATGTTCTCCATTAGCTAGCTTCTCGCACAAAATACTAAAATTCTAATTATTAGCAATCTTCCAACCCCCTCATTTCAAATGCCATTATTTCGAGCAAAAGCAATGTATTGCAATCCAAACAAGGATACATAGCAAAGTAACATAGTATTAACGGGAAACTTGAAATGAAAACTGAAATCTCAAAATAGCAATTTTGTATAAAATGCGGGCGTGTATTGCACTTTGGTTTTCTATTTCCATGACTAATTTCCTCTTCCCTCGTATAATTCATTCCGGTTACTTGCTTCCTGCTTTCTTGCAATTTAAACCGAAACAGATACTTTATCGTAAGCTTTTAGTCTGAAAATGGATTGCCTCATATTTGCCAGCTGATATGAAAATATGTTGTGATAAGCATCGATGATCCAAGTCAACGTTATGGATTAATATTTTCCATAAAATTTATGTATCTATTTGAACATTTAAGAATTCATTGTAATTTATGATATTTGACGTGGGAATAACATATGCTAATGGTTACTATTATAGTAATTATCGTCATTAATAATAAAAGTATCAGTATAAACCATTCCAGTGAATTTCACTTCCTTTTCCGGTCCTAACATTATCAGCAGATAAAAATAGAGGAGGTTAAACTTATCAGCTGAAAAAATTTATATCATTTTTTTTCACTTAATTCTATGCTATGTTAACGTTTTGCCATTAAAAAAATTAATTAACGGAATTAAAATGGGTTTTAGTCTGAAATATATTGCCACATGTTGCCAGTTGATATGAAAACATCTGATAAGCATTGATGATCGAAATCAGCGTAATGGAACTGATAAAATTCAACTGATATTGTTTGTTATTGGATTAGAAATTATTAAGTAAAATAAGCTTTATTATTTCAGTAATTTCATTTTATATTATATCATATATAATGGATACTTTATTTCGAAATATATTCAAAGTTAGTAAATTGAAAATTTGATGCTATTTATAACTTCCTCTCCCTCTCCCTCTCCTCTCTCTCCCTCTTTTCCCCTCTCTCTCCGCTATTTATAAGTTATGAATTAATTAAAATTATTTTGGAATAATGATCAGAGAAGAAAAAAACAAAACAAAACTGTCATCTTTACATCTTTCGTTCCTTTACTCTCTACTCATCACTTATTTCTTTTCTATCTCATGGGAATTTTTAGATTTGAAAATCAAAGT